TTTTTTTTTTTTTTTTTTGTACTGGGAATCGAACTCACAACCTTGCACTTGCCAGGCAAACACTGTGCTGCTGAGCTATATCCCTGGCTCTCTATATCTTTTGGAAGAACTGCAAGAATCTTAGTTCCAGTGTAACGCAAACATTTTATAACAGTTTGTGGAAGGTTGGACATTGAAAACTATCGATATTCAGTTGAGTGTGGTGGGGTATGCCTGTAACCCCAGTTTTAAATTGGGTGAGGCAGGAGGACCACCTCCAGTTTGAGGCTAGTGGGACGACACAGGGGGGAAACTCAGTCTCAAAAAGAAAAGAAGACCCAAACCATTTTTCACTGCAAACATTCAAGTTACTGGTTCTTAGGAATGGTGGCTAATATTACATGATAAAGGGGACACTAACAATTACAATCAGATAAAGATTAAATATTTGTTTTCTTTGCTTTATTTTTTTGAGCTGGCCAAATAGCTCAGCAGATTGGGGCAGGGGGTTTTCGAACCCCCAGCCTGCCCTGCACAATTGAGACTAGGCATGGTGGCGCACCTGTAATCCTAGCTCTTGGGAGGCTGTAAACAGGTGGATCACTATGAGTCCAATCTAGTAGTGAGACCCTAAACACCCTGGAGACCCTTCGCTAAAATACAAACAACAACAACAAAAAGAACTAACCTCTTTTCTTTCTTTTTTTCTTTTTTTTGTATTTTAGTACAGGTCTACGGGGTCTTACTGGACTTGTAGTGGTCCGCCTGTGTTCAGCCTCCCGAAAGCTGGGATTACAGGTGCCCACCACCATGCCCAGCCTCACCTCAGCGCGCCCTGGGGTTTGGGCGGGCACAGCATACAGGGATCGAACCCCAGCCCCAGCGGCTGTGTCTGCCTAAGCAGGCGCTTTAATCCGCTGAGCTATTTGTCTGGCCCAAAATTAAATATCTGAATGATTGTGTGAACAAAGAAAAACAGACATTAGGTTTCATAGCAAAATGATCTAAATTTATATTCATTGACTGGAAACCGCAGAGAGAAATTATTGCCGTGCTTGCAGGGAGAAAAGGTAGGGGAAAGGGGCATAATTGCCTATACCTGCTACCACTAACACAAAAAGAAAAATAATTGATAGCCACATGAACACCTTTATTGTTTCACTTTAGTGGATATAAAATTTTTATTTGGAATTTCATGTAAATGGTCCTGACCACTGTTCATTTTCTTATCAGTTTCTCTACGGGGGGCGGCAATAAAGTTTTCACTATGAAATACTAGTATTGGGGCTGGGGAGATGGCTCAGTAGATAAGCGCTTCCCTGGCATTCGCAAAGGCCTGAGTTCAATCCCCGGTTCCGCAAAAAAAAAAAAAGAACGAAAGAAAGAAAGAAACATTAGTATTTGTTATTGGTTTCCTTTTCAGGGATTCAGGCCCTTGTCTGAATCGTGAGGAGACCCCTCTGTATCGCAGATCTCAGTATCTGTCCTCTATAAGGTGCACCTAAGCCCTGGCTGGTGAGATTTTAAACTGTGTCTGGCTAGAGAGAGGCCTCTCACCTGCCGGCCGGCCGCCACGGGGTGCAGAGGAAAGGGCAGTGGCAGACTCCACGCACCGACCAACCGGATTTTCCTGTACAACCAGGGGGAAGCTGGAGCCTGGGGCCTTGAAAATAGGCTTGCATTTTAAAGCACTGTTCCATCCTGGGAAAACACTTTATTTAACCCCTTTGTGGTCCTGGCTTCTCTCATGTTGTAGCTATAAATTTATCTCTCTCAGTGGTCCTTTTATTACAGATGGGAATAGCGAGTCTGAAACTTCTAAGGAATTTCAGAAGTATTGCTTTTCTCTTATTATTTTGTTGTGAAATTCTTTTTCCATTAAAATAAATAATAAGAATTGAATTTTTATATAAAGAAAAACTTAGAATTAGGGTCTTCTTGCTGAGCTACATTCTAGCCTTTGTGTGTGTGTGTGTGTGTGTGTGTGTGTGTGTGTGTGAGAGAGAGAGAGAGAGAGAGAGAGAGAGACTGCCTGGATTACATAGGAAGACCCTATCTCTCTCTCTCTCTCTCTCTCTCTCTCTCTCTCTCTCTCTCTCTCTCTCTCCTTTCTCTCTTCCTTTCTTCCTTTGACAGGGTCTCCCTATGGAGATCAGATTAGCTTTAAACTCAGTATCTGGCCCAGGATGGCCTCAAAATCCCAGCGATCCTGCCACAGATGCCCCAGTGATGGGATTACAGGCATTTGTCATCTATTTAATTGGAGACAGGGTCTAATTTGAATTTGGGATGCTCCATCCACTGCCTCCCTTGGGGCTTTCATTACAAGCCGTGTTTTATTTATTTTTATTTATTTATTTATTTATTTTTGGCTGAAAAACTCAAACCAGGGATTGAACTCCGATCCCTGTGCTTGCCAGGGAATTGCTTATTCTACTGAGCCATCTCCCCAACCCACAAACCATGCTTTATTTCTTTGCTATGCATTGTAACTAACAATAGTGGCCAAAACTTGAAAATTAATCTATAATCCTATCACGGAACAGATCACTTGTTTCTATTTTTTTTTTTTTTTCTATTCTCATGCATTAACCATTTACCCAAAGCACTCGCCCAGTCTTAGTTTGAGCTGCATACACCTGTTGTTTTGGTTTGCTAATTGGTTCTCCACGACAACTATGTAGTTCAGGCTTGCCTTGCCTACACATATCCTGAATATAGATTTGCATTTGTATTTTTAAAATTTTTTGGAGGGCCGGCGAGATAGCTCAGCAGACTAAGCTCCTGCTTTGGCAAGTGCAGGGACCAGGGTTTGCTATCCAGTCCGGCACACTCGCCCTCTGGCACACCGGGCAGGTGGCGCATGCCTTGCAATCCCAGCGCTGGGGAGGCCGAGAACAGGAGGATCGCTATGAGTCCTAACTGCATAGTGAGACCCTGTACCAAATACACAAGTGGAAAAAAAATAAATACATTTTTTGGAGACTTGGTCTCGCTATGTAGGTTGGCCTTGAATTTACTATGTAGCCCAGGCTGGCCTCGAACTCAGTTCTCCTGCCTCAGCTTCCCAAGTGCTGGGATTACTGACATACACCACCACGTGCAGTCAGATTTTAATCCCCCCCCCACCGTTCTGACATACATATTTATAAGGCTGCAAAATAAATATTCATAGTATGGCTTTTGTGACTACTTAATATTCCACTCAGGACATACACTTTAAAAACAACTACTTCACAAGTATCCAATGTTTGGGAAGCCCGCGCTAACACATTTGACCTTGCACTGCACGCCCCGGAGGTCGGTCAAGGTGACGTCCCAGGCTCGGGGCTACCCCGGCTGCGTTCCGCAGCACCGCGGGGGAAGGGCGCGAGGCCTAGGCCGCTCAGCCAATCGTGTGGCTTCCCAATGCACCTGCCGTCTTGGCGCCTTTTCCTCGAGGCCCCGCCCCGCCCCCTACCGGGTGCGCGCGCAACTCGCCCAGGGCTTTTTTTCCTTAGACCACCTCCTTAGGTGGTACGTGAGGCCGGAAATGACATCAACCCCTGGGGGCGGGGGGCGGGGGGCGGAGCCAGGTTATAAACAGCATGTTGAGGGTGATCATAGCCTCAGAGGGCGTAGGGAGCGCGGAGTAGGCTGAGCTGCGCTGGAGGTTCCTGTGTGAGTGATGCTTCTGGGAAGACCCGGCCGCGCCTCGTGTTCTCTGTCCTCAGCCTACCCGGCGGGTCCACGCGGCCCCCAGTCGGGTCCAGCGCGGTGCTGCCCTGTAGCCGTGGGCCGAGCGGGGCATGCGGGCGACAGCTGGGCTGGGGCTGGGGCAGCGGGTGGGACCGCTGTGCGCCGCGGGCGTCCCTGCCTTTGCTGCTTTGTGCGCCCGCTCGGTTACCGAGCGGCGAGTGGCTCCACGTTAGGGCCGGGGGCTCAGAACGGTCCCCACTGTCGCCTTGCGCCCCTCCATTCCCGCCTGGGCTCCGGGCCCTCGTGATCCTCTTCCTCCCTCGCAGAGCTGCGGCCCCGAATCATTCCGGCCCGGGTCCCGGAGCGCGGGGCGGCCGGCTGCGAGCACGTGCTGTCCCAAGAAGTCGCCCGGGGCGGCCTCCGGGGTTGGGGGTGACCTTGGCCTCGGAACCCATCGCCTCCGCGCGGCCCCTAGGGCTCGGGTCTCATTGTGAATAGAAACAAAGCTGCCTCCGATTCGGTGACCGGCTGCGTGTCGCGGGCAGATTTAGGGGAGCTACAGCGCACGTTGGAACCGCTGTTCCCTGATCTTTTCTTGCGGGCTCTGCCCCTTGGTCTGTGGGTGGATTCTCGTTTTTTCCAAAGCAGAATCAGCGCGAGCGCCGCAGGTGTTCACCATAAGAATATTGGTAGCAGTCATTGCCACAAGATGGGCGACCTCGGGAACAAGACTTGTGAAGGCTGTTTGAGAGCTAGCAGGACGATCCAGGGGTTGTTGAAGCCCATTGGGTTCGCTGTTTCTGTTGGACAGCGCTCTAAAATGGTAGTGGAGAGTGTGGATGAGAAACCGTTCGGTGACAATTCTCAGTTTACACTTTGTCCCTGCTCACCGTTTGCAGTGACCTTGAGATACATCACTTACCTAGAGGCCTGGATTGGTGTTCTGTGCTCTTTTTCTTTCTATATGTAAGAAGATTGAAGTAGGAAATAGTTGTTATGTTACAGAAGTATTTGGCTACCTGATACCTTTATTCTAAACTTACATATTAGTTTGAAATACTAGATGCTAATTCAGTTGTTTCTGTGTGACGAATTTGGCCTCATTGAGGAAAACATATAAGCTTATTTCTCACTGTAATTTTTTTGGGGGGGTACTGGAAATTGAGAGCTTGCCAGGCAGGCACTGTGCCGTTGAGCTATATCCCCAGCCCACTTACTGTAAAAATTAAGTTCAGGCTTTCTAAATATCAGTGGGCGCTGCTGGGCTTTTTGTTTTTGTGTTTTACCAAAACAGCAAATATTTTTCAAAGGCTAATCAGTGAGATCACAATGTGATGAATGTTAATATTTTTGTTTGTTTTTTAGACAGGGTCTTCCTGTGTAGTTCAGGCTGGTCTGGAACTCTGCAATCCTTGTGCCTCAGCCTCTGTAGTGCTGGGATTACAAGTGTGCACCACCATGCTTGGCTAAAAGGTTTTTTTTTTTTTTTTTTTTTTTTTAAGTTTACTTCAGTAAAGGACATTGGTCCATTCCTGTAATCCCAGCAGGGTCATGAGAGTTGGATACCGGCTTTGGGGACCATGTCTCAAAAAAAAAAAAAAACATTAAAAGCTGGATGTGGTGTCCCAGGCCTATAATTCTAGCACTGGTGGGCTCAGGAGGATGGTGGTGAGTTGGAGGCCAGCCTTAGTTACAGAGCAAGACCCTGTCTCAAAAAACAGAAAAACACCAAAACAATAAAAATAAATAATAACATTTTCCTCAGTCCCCCTCAAAATGCTTCCCCTCACTTCTAACACCCCCACACTCCCGCACCCTACCCACACCACCACCATCAGGAATGGAACTCAAGACCTTGCACTTGCCAGGCGGGTGCTTGCTGTGCTGCTGAGCTATCTTCCCAGCCCCTATACCATCATTCTTGTCACTTTGAGTTCTGAGAGTCCTATCATAAGTGTCTTTACTTGTGCTGTCATGGTTGCTTTAATGTCCTGAATCAATGCAAAACATCGACTTTTTTGACTGTTTGAAGAAGAGCCAGAAGTCACAGGGTAAAAGTGGATGAAGACACAGTGATATTTTTATGAGCCTGCATTATGATTCAGTGGCACTTGGCAGCGACATTCACTGTATTTTTTATCACACCTTATAAAATACACTTTAGAAAAGACAGAAGTGCCTGAGAAAGTGGCAAAACTGATAGGTGTTCAAAGGGAGGGGGAGTGTTTTGAGGAAGATTAACAGCAGTATGTCTTTTACCTAATTACAATTTTTGTTTTGTAATTTTTTAAATTTAAGCACGTACCATATTGGTGTATGTGCTGCTGGGGTGAGCACAACTACCGTATTTTTTGATTACCCTGTTTGTGTAGCATAACATCCTTTTTTCTTTGATAGGCTCTTGTCAAGTAATGGGTGGCTGTGGACCTAGCCTGTGTTGGTTCTTGGATAGAGGTCAGTTTGGCCAACCCCGTCCTAAGGCTGGGCAGTTATTTGCCTCTGATAATGTGTGTGTTTACAGTGGAACAAGGTTCTCAGTTAAACCTAAATCCAGCAACAACGAAAGCTAATTGAAAATGACCCTCTGTAGCCTTGTGGAACTCTTCTGGGTTGGTGCCTACTTCTTTCTTTCCTGAGAGGAGGGGTTCTGACCTTCAGCTTGAGCAGTCTCTTCAGAAAGCTGGACGGAATTAGGAACTCTGCTCGTTTTCTTTGATTCCTCCACTGTCCGTTGCACTTCAGACCTGAAGTTAGTCCCTTAAAGCTAAGAAAGACCTTGATGCTGTTTTGTCAAGAGTATACACAAATCTAAGGGTTCTAAGTGAAGTTTTTAGGATGTGAAGGTTTCTAGAGTAGGCCCTTGAAAGAGGTAGAGGAACTTCCTTATATGAGTTCCAACGACTTGAAACGTGACCTGTTTCCCTAAATTGAAATGGGCTTGTCAATGAGAATAGATGGCTTATGATGCATATTTCTTGACCAAGGAGTGGCGGCTTTGGGTGTGTTACCCACAGGTGCAACTGTGCCTGACTCCAGTCCCATTCTCCAGCTCCTTGTGTTGTGTACAGGTCCCTGGTTTTGAGGAATTGTAAAGTAGTTCAAGATGGCAAAATAATTACATTGTTTTAGGGGCTGGGGAGATGGCTCAGTGGAATAAGTGCTTTCCTGGCAAGTGCAAGGGCCTGAGTTCAATCCCCGGTTCTGCCAAAAAAAATTATATTGTTTTAAAAATTTAAGTAGAATTTAATGCTGTGTTTCAAGGAAGTAGGAATTAGTTGAACTTATTCTGCAGCACTGGAGACTGAAGTCAGGAACTCTTTCTCAATAGCGCGTTCTACAAGTGGGTTATATGATTGGTTGCATTTAAAGAGGTTTGAGGCTGTCTGGTGTTTTTGCCTTTCTATCTTCCACCTCACAGTCAAGGACACTTCAGATCCTCCTATTTCAGGTTCAAAACACACAGGGTTGTGTCTTGCTTATTTTAATTTTTCTTATTAATGGGAGAACCAAATAGTGTTTCAGTCACCATTAGTATATCAAACATAAATTGTGTGAGAAAATCAAGGTGATATTTGGTTTATCTCTTTGCTAGACCATCAGCATTGGTGTTGTCTGTCATCTTGAAACAAGCCATATAAGAACAATGGCATTTATTTCTTTGTGTTTTTTTTGTTTTTGTTTTTGGAGACAGGGTCTCACTGTGTCGTGCAGGCTGGCCTTAAACTTGCTGTGATCCTTCTGCCTCAGCCTCTCAAGTGCTGGGATGTAACAGGCAGGCACCACTATGCCTGGCCTGGTATGGCTTTTAAATGTGACCTTTTAACAGCCCTGCTACTAGACAGAATGGTGTTACAGCTGGTATGGGAAGTTCTCGTGCTTCTCAAGCACAGGGTTATTTCACTTGAACTAAAATTCGCGAAAGGATTCTCTTAAATGGAAAGCTTTTCTCCTATATGTGAGATTGTTTTGAAAGACAGACTCAAAATTTCAGGTGTCTTGAGGTGCTCATAAAACTACTATGTTCTTCACAGTACAAATTGATAGGAATAAAATGAAAGTTGTGTAGTTCAAATTTTTTTTTCTCTGACTTGATTTCTTTTGTATTAAGTATTCTTTTTTTAAAAAAATTATTTATTTATTGTGTGTGTGTGTGTGTGTGTGTGTGTGTGTGGCCAGCTCAGCCCACCAGGGGGCGGGGCTGGCTGGCATGTGGTGCTGGGGCCATCCCTGTGCTTTGCTAAGCTTGTTCTAAGTAGGTGCTTGAGACCACTGAGCCATCTCACCAGCCACAGTATTCTTAATTGTGTATCAGGGTATTGAAACAAATGCTGTTTTCTGAGTAAAACGGGGGTGGGGGTGGGGTTTGCTGGTTAGCTCCGTTATTTAAGCGCCTGTTGTGGCAAACCCAGGCAGGCACAGGGGGCCAAGGTTCGATCCCCAGCTCCCCATGCCTCGCCAGACCTGCCCTTAAGGCAGTCTGAGCCAGCCCGCGCCCCCCCCAAAAAAATCCTTCTTAGTAAAACAATTTTATTTATATGTAATCATGTTTACAGGCCATTAAATTGTATCACTCATTTGCTTAAATTATTTAGATCATTTATCCCTTCAGTTTTAAAATAAATTTAAGGATTAGGTGTATAGCACTTGCCTTGCATGAGTAAAGTCCTGGGTTTGATTACCTGTACTGTAAAATGCATAAATTTCTTTAAAGCTAGAAAACCTGATTTCTGATACAGAGAA